GTGTACACCGCTGCAGGGATTGTGGCATTCGTCCTCTTTGTGATTCTTGTATCTCTTGCGTCGATGCGAGGATGTAAAGGTGACTCGTTTACATTTTATCCAGGATTAAACGGCAATATGCATTTTAATTAATACATTTATAAAGTGACTAATTTCACCAAATTGTCAACTTGCAGGAAAAGCAAAGAGCGAGAGGATAGAGGATAATCATGTAAGACAAGAAATCATCTCAAAAAGCTGAAATTCAGGAGGGGGCGGGGTTTGGTCACACTTTTTAAGCAATTTCCATTTTTTATGTTTGTAGTACATGGCGATCCCAATGGTCGAGCAACCCTTCCCAAACCCCCGCACCCAGCCTTCACCAAGAGGAAGTCCGTCTCTGCCGCTGCCTCAGAGATCTATGCGGAGAAAGAAACCGCTGCCACAACCCATCGAGCCGCCATCACCCAGAGACAATGAGTGTGTTTACAGCAAGGTAAAAGTAGACAGAGATCAACAGAGGAATACGCTGGAAGAGAACGGGGGCTCTGTTGTGTATGCCGCCCTCAACCATCAGCTCCCAGCCAGGCCTGTTGCTCGGCCGAGGAGGCGAAGGAGGAGTGTTCAGAGTACGCTGCGATCCGTGTTAGAGACAGCAGCTCTTAGACCACTGAGGGACTTTTCAAAATGATAGAAAACCAAAATGAAACTGCCACAACGAGAGATGTGAATGTTGGACGGACACAGATCTCAAACTATCTTTTTTTGTTGTTGTTGCACATCCAAGATCTGAATTAAGGTCATGTAGCAGAAATAGTCAGAGGCTGTTGTTACGCATGCACAAAACTCCTGAGAAGTTCCAGAAATGTTGAATGTCAGCCGCATGTGTGAACTCACTTTTTTCATCGTAAAATCTGAAAGTGAAGTCTGGGGGAGCTGATGTGTGAACGCGGCAGGAAATATTCAATCACTGTGAGACAGAGCGAGGGAGTGGGTGAACTTCGAGCCCGTCTATCCAGTTTGTTCTTTTCCTGTGAATGAGTGAAATGTTCTTGAAGTTTTCAGGAGTGCATGTGTGAAAACGGCTTTACAAACCTTTGACTCATCATACGACGATACGAATGACTAGCTTCTGTGCTTTTATGTGTCACAGCCTTTGAGAAAAAATGAATGTGATTCTTTTACCCGCATACTGAGAATGTATTGATTAATTCATAATCCGTGCAATTAAATACACAATGACTGCTTGATTTGACATCAGTGCTGACCTGCCTCTTTGAATGTTTTTACCATTAAACAATCTCATGCCAGGGCAGCAAAGAGGTTAACTCAAAACACCAGGAAGTCTCAGGTGAACTGAGATGCCAATGTGCTGAAAATCTCCTTTTTGGATGTTAAGTAAATGGACTTAAGCGTGTCTTTGACTACTCAAAGTGCTTTTACACACCAAAAAATGTTTCACTCATATTACGTGATAATAATAACTGTAAGCTGTAACACCTGCAAACTATAACTTTATGGCAAGCTAAAATAACACTGTAAGTTGGACATCAAGTCTACTCACAGCATTATTTGAAAACAAAGGCTATAAAGGCAATTCTCTCTCACACTCACACTCACACACACACACACACTCACACACTCACACACTCACACACACTCACACTAGGGTGACCACCTCCAAACCAGCAAGGACGAGGTTGTGCACAAAACTCTATAAGCTACTATTATGATGCATGTTTTTTAAGTCTGACTGAACAAAATGAGTCCTGTATTAATTTCCTATGTTGAGCATTTGCACACTTTTAGTCTACAATTTCCCCAGATACTATTGAGTGAAGATGTACACGCATCCCAAAACACTTTCATTGATAATTCCACGGGCTGTCATCATTTCTGTGTCATTCCAGTGTCTTTCTGACAGCGGGCGTGTGGAGCCTACGTATACCTGTCTGTCTGCGCAAAGACATTTGATAGGTTTGCTTGTTGTACTGCGTCAAGACAGTCGCTATTCTGACCTCCTCCTCCTCAATCTGTCCCCGCTGCTGGGTCACGTCTCTCTCCTCCTCCTCCTCCTCCTCCTGTGCACTCGATGGGACTGCTTCTGCACATGTGTCGACGGCCCTGCACCCGCTGCTGCAGTCAAACTTGCAAACATATTAGTGATTTTGGCACATTTTGCTGCATCCACTTGTTGTGCTTTTGTTGTTTCTTATCCATTTCACACTCACTCACTTCTCTCCAGGGGCGTTTCTAGGTTTCTGAAACATCCGGGGCTTAGCCCAGAGGGAAATGGCAAACGCGCGCGCACAGCCACACATTATTTTGTTTGCTTTATTTCACATGCAAAATTTTTCATAATGCTTTACCTAAAAACAAAATACTCAGTTTATTATAGCTTTAAATAACTACCTGACTGCTGTGCTGCTTATCCCCAGACATCTACAGTTCCATTCAAAGTTATTTCAGAGTAAAATGAATACAAGTGAGACAGACCTGACATTACCTCTATGGATCTGACTGGGGATAGGTTAGGTTAATTCACTTGAGGTGGTAAACAGTCTGGTTATGTTTTGTTTATTCTCTTGGTAGACTATCTAGAAGGACGAGGCTGTGACGGTAAATTTGACAGCGGTGCGTTCAGACACACTCGGAAATTCCATGGTTGAATATGGAGATTTTGTTGCTCTGTTGTCATGCGGTAAACGAGGGGCGTTCAAGGATCGTCGGAAAGTTGCATTTTTTTAAATTAAATTTTAATTTTTAATTTTTAAAATTATATTCGGGCTAATTAAATAATATCCGGGGCTTTAGCCTAGTGACGCCACTGCTTCTCTCCAACTCCGGTCAGCTTAATGGCAAAATTTGATAACCTTGGAGAGGGGAGGGGCGGGCCGAGGAGGGCTCAGAGATTTCATTGGACTAGCCCAATGTCTTTCAAGAAAATCAACCAATGGGCTGCGTTTCCTGTCTCATATACAGTCGTGGTCGATAAAAAATAATATACTCTTTTAATTAAATTATGACAGCCCCGGGCCGGCCCAACAATGTGCATCAGCCCACCGGGTATTGCCCGGTACGCCAATTGGCCTGTCGATGCCTGTTTTACACCACAGGTTACACTCACTGCATTCACACTGATGACAGAGGCTACAAAGCCCCCATTTAGACAAATATCACACATAAACCAGATAACAGGAAGTAGAGTCGACCAGAAGACGTTTACTGCAGCGTTTACAGCAGACCATCAGTTGTTTGACAGAGCTTACAATCTGGTTCTAGACATTTTTTCACCATGACACCAAAGTCCTGCTTCACCATCCTTCATGTGTCCATCTTGGCTGCGACACTTCTCACTTTGGAAGTTTCCTGTAAGTTTTTGTCTTTTTATTAATGGCATACTCTCAATGGCAGCAGCTGCGTGTTACTGTCTTTGTGGCTCTGTCACTGCGTGATGTGTCGACAAATATTCCTCAGAAAAAATAATGTTATGTAAACTGAAAAGGTATTAAAAGTACTTATAGTGAGGGTGTATATTTAATAAAATCTCCAGAACGCAGCAAAAGGCTCAACTGTGTACCGTTAAAACTCAACACGGAAATGAACTGGATATGAATTTGGAGGAAACAATTTAAATTGTGGTGAAGGAAGGATTACCTTTATAGAGAATTGTATATTGTTGGCAGAGAAAACCTGAAATGCAGTTTTCTACATGCAAACATATTTAGTGATAAAAATGACCAAATGTGTTAGTTTGGTAATTTCTTGCCATTTTTTAGACTTTTTGGTCTCTTTATATCGGTTAAAAGTCGACAAATGCAGCATGGCAAAACAGCAGTGTATCGGCTGAAGTCTGTACTTCCTGAATTCAGACAGTGGTGGGGATCTTTTCACCTTAAATTTAGCCTCCATGAAGCGAGGCTGCCTTATTAAAATGAGCAAACCCCATTCTCAACTCTGACTTCAACACAAAGTACAACACATGACTTCCTGCCCTGAACTTTCCGTGTAGCTGCTGCAACAATGAACAACAAATCTATTGAACTGCTTTTACGTTCTGTCATCATTAGCTGGTGTCACATTTTTGAGAAAGTGAGTTGCCTGTAATTTTTTTACTCTGATAATATTTTGTTTCATCTTTAGCTGTCATCAGAATTTATTTATACATTACAAAAAAAAATCAATCAAGGATGAGCTAACCTATTCTGTATGTTTGTTGTCTCTTTCCTTGCAGGTACAGATGAATGTGAAGTTCAAATTAAAGTACGCCGATACACAGAATATAAAGCTCACCTTGGAGAAGAACTAAAGATTGAATGTCCAGTTACGGTCTGCAACGATTCACCACCTGAAATCTCCTGGTTTAAACTCGAAGAAACTGGTGATCCTATAAACATTAGCGGGAGAAGTCGCTTCAAATCAGAGTGGAAAACTTTGAAGCATTTAGAGGGAGTTTCAGTTTTGATCATTCAAAACTTTGTCAGAAACGACTCGGGTATATATCGGTGTAAATGTGGTTCCAGTGTTGGACATAAAATCAATGTTTCTGTCAATGGTGAGTGTGACTTTGTTATTTATCTAATGTGTCTTTATTGAGTTAAACTGCCTACAGATACCCTGATACAGCCACTAAATAATCAGCTTGAATATAACAGCTACGCTCCGAGCTCCGAGCTCCGAGCTCCGAGCTCCGAGGCTACTCTGATCCTGTATTTGATCATGTCTATAAACCCCTCTATTTCAGCCCTGCTCAGAACAGGCTGTTTCTGTGTCTGTAGCTTTAAATATGTAAATGAGCTGTGTCTGACCAGGCCCCCTCTCTGGAAGGGCTTGGGTGTACTCGGTGCTTTCTCTCTCCATGTCCTATTGTTTACGGTGAGAAGGCAGACTCAGAGGGCAGAACAAACACCTAGCTGTGGGAGTGTCACCCACCTGGGGGAGGGGCTACTGCCCTTTGTGATGTCATGAAGGGAAAATCTCCAAACGGCCTGTTTGAGCACACATTTTCTGAAAAGTGGAGCAGGCAAAAGACAGAAAAGAACAGACGTTTCTCATAATCGGGGGGTTTGTAGACGGACTAGAGACACATATTAGTGTTAGAAAAACATGGTGAAGTGTATTTTGCATAATATGTGACCTTTAATGTTTTTCAGATAGTGTTGAACTCATCACCTACCAATGTTTTTTCTGACCTTGATAACTATGGGTTACTTTATTAAGTCTGATGCTGAGACAAATGTCCCCTTTTCACAGGGAGACCAGAAACTGAGGACGCTTTCTGGCCTTTTGTGTGTCGTGTTGTTGGACTCTTGGTGTTTGTCACCATAGTGATTGCTATGTTTGTCACCTCACACTCTTTGCGTAAAGGTGAGACTTTTTATTTTACACGAGTGTTTTTATGAGCCACACAGGCGCTCTGCAGACCTCCAGCTGAGGATTTAAACTAAGAACCACACATTGTGATATCAACAAATATCAAATTATGATCGTTTTTCATTTCAGTTCAAGGTGTCCAATGTGGAGGAGGATCCAAAGACACACCAGCAGATCCAAACAGCCAGCCTTCCCATCAGGCTTTGCCTATGGATCATATCTATGATAGTGTTCAGTAGTCCTCATGTCAGAGGTACAAAGTTAAACGTTACAATGCTGGGTTAAGAACATACAACAGCATTTATTATTGATTGTTTTTTGTGACTCGTGGAAGTCAATTTGTGCTTGTGAATTTCTGCAAATGAACCTGTAGTGATACAAGAAGTGACATTTCTATTGCTTTCAAACCGCTGTATATGAGATCGAACCTGTGTGTGTGTGTGTGTGTGTGTGTGTGTGTTTTGCTTCCTCTGTAGGTGACAAACTTTGTGCACAAATCCCCTGCAAGATATATTATTTTGGTTATCTGTATCGCATTGTGGAGCAGACGCACTGATGCCAGGAAGCAAAATGTAACCACACGTCACATATTGAGAGACAAAAGACAAGAGGATGTGTCGTAACATGAAAGAATACGCAGCCCTCAACTTATCACCCATCTGTTCTAGGGATCTTATTTCACTCTAAAATATAAATTATAAATGTGATTTTACCACTTCACATACAGCCCAATATTAAAGATTCACTGAAGAAATCTAGTTTCTTAAACTGACTAATGAAAACAACAGCCAACCTGTCAGTCAAAGCAGCCCCGCCAAATTATAATATAATAACTAGCTTTCAAAAAAGATTTTTCATAAATTCTTAAAATTCATAAAAATTCACTCTGTAAAGTTTGTGCAAATAAATAAATGAGCTGTCAGAACCAAACCTGTTTTGTAGCATTTCTATTGAGTATGTCATGGTTGGAAACGACTGAATTTGATGAATATCTCTTTTCATATTGCGTCTTTATGTCGGAAACATCCACATGTGCACATCAGATTGTGTCTTGGCTTATTACTCATTACATGCAAATAAAAATACACACGTTCCAAATCGGCTTTTTGTTTTGATTGATTCAATATTGCACGTGTTGTTTCGTGCTAATGCAGCGATAATGTTCCATTCTGTGGTTTCATCACTTCATTGAAACTAGAACAAATTGCTAATGAGTTATGCAAATGACATTCAATATGAGTCACCTTGACATCAATGCTCATTAATAAATGGTCAACTTGATCCACTTCAGTTTGCTTATCAAGCTGGTGAAGGTGTGGACGACGCCAAGGTTTTCATTTTCGACACTGTGTACAAACGCCTGGAAAAACCTAAATCCCATGCCAGACTTTTATTCGCTGACTTTTCCTCAGCTTTTAATAAAATGCAGCCTCATATTTTAATTGAGACACTATCCTCTCACTTTAAACTTCCTGGTCAGATTTTAATGTTGTTTTTAAACTTTTTAACAGACAGAGTTCAGCAGGTTTTCGTGAATGGTCAAATGTCGAAAAATAATTATGTCAAACACTGGTTCCCCTCAGGGCTGTGTCCTTTCCCCCCTGCTTTTTATCATGTACACAGATAGCGGCAGAACATCACTAGAGAAGAGTTATCTGGTAAAGTTCTCAGATGACACTGTTCTGCTGTACCTCCTTCAGGGCTCAGAATCAGGCCACGGCGGTGCTCTACCAACTTTTGTTAAGTGGTGCGATGGCAACTTCCTGGATCTTAATGTCCTGAAAACCAAGGATTTGGTCATAGATTTTAGGAAGAACTGTTGTCACCCTGAATCTAGCATTATCCACAGTGGAGAGGTTGAAATAGTGGACTCATAACTCATTAACACATTCACACACCGCTGATGCAGCAGCAGGAGCAAGTTGGGGTTAAGTGTCTTCACCAATGGACACGTCCACATATGTCTGCAGGAGCTGGGGATTGAAACTCCATCCTTCCTGTTGAGAGATACCCAACTCTACCACAGTATAGTCCGTAGTGTGGGTTTGCTCTCAACAAATATCATACAGAAACCAGATAACAGGAAGTAGAGTCGACCAGAAGACGTTTACTGCAGCGTTTACAGCAGACCATCAGTTGTTTGACAGAGCTTACAATCTGGTTCTAGACATTTTTTCACCATGACACCAAAGTCCTGCTTCACCATCCTTCATGTGTCCATCTTGGCTGCGACACTTCTCACTTTGGAAGTTTCCTGTAAGTTTTTGTCTTTTTATTAATGGCATACTCTCAATGGCAGCAGCTGCGTGTTACTGTCTTTGTGGCTCTGTCACTGCGTGATGTATCGACAAATATTCCTCAGAAAAAATAATGTTATGTAAACTGAAAAGGTATTAAAAGTACTTATAGTGAGGGTGTATATTTAATAAAATCTCCAGAGCGCAGCAAAAGGCTCAACTGTGTACCGTTAAAACTCAACACGGAAATGAACTGGATATGAATTTGGAGGAAACAATTTAAATTGTGGTGAAGGAAGGATTACCTTTATAGAGAATTGTATATTGTTGGCAGAGAAAACCTGAAATGCAGTTTTCTACATGCAAACATATTTAGTGATAAAAATGACCAAATGTGTTAGTTTGGTAATTTCTTGCCATTTGTTAGACTTTTTGGTCTCTTTATATCGGTTAAAAGTCGACAAATGCAGCATGGCAGAACAGCAGTGTATCGGCTGAAGTCTGTACTTCCTGAATTCAGACAGTGGTGGGGATCTTTTCACCTTAAATTTAGCCTCCATGAAGCGAGGCTGCCTTATTAAAATGAGCAAACCCCATTCTCAACTCTGACTTCAACACAAAGTACAACACATGACTTCCTGCCCTGAACTTTCCGTGTAGCTGTTGCAACAATGAACAACAAATCTATTGAACTGCTTTTACGTTCTGTCATCATTAGCTGGTGTCACATTTTTGAGAAAGTGAGTTGCCTGTAATTTTTTTACTCTGATAATATTTTGTTTCATCTTTAGCTGTCATCAGAATTTATTTATACATTACAAAAAAAATCAATCAAGGATGAGCTAACCTATTCTGTATGTTTGTTGTCTCTTTCCTTGCAGGTACAGATGAATGTGAAGTTCAAATTAAAGTACACCGAAGCACAAAATATGAAGCTCACCTTGGAGAAGAACTAAAGATTGAATGTCCAGTTACGTTCTGCGACGATACACCACCTGAAATCTCCTGGATTAAACTCGAAGAAACTGGTGATCCTATAAACATTAGCGGGGGAAGTCGCTTCAGATCAGAGTGGAAATCTTTGAAGCATTTAGAGGGAGTTTCAGTTTTGATCATTCAAAACTCTGTCAGAAACGACTCGGGTATATATCGGTGTAAAAGTGGTTCCAGTCTTGGACATAACATCAATGTTTCTGTCAATGGTGAGTGTGACTTTGTTATTAATCTAATGTGTCTTTATTGAGTTAAACTGCCTATAGATACCCTGATACAGCCACGTAATAATCAGCTTGAATATAACAGCTACGCCCTGAGCTCCGAGCTACTCTGATCCTGTATTTGATCATGTCTATAAACCCCTCTATTTCAGCCCTGCTCAGAACAGGCTGTTTCTGTGGCTGTACCTTTAAATATGTAAATGAGCTGTGTCTGACCACGCCCCCTCTCTGGAAGGGCTTGGGTGTTTCGGGCGTTCTCGCTCCATGTCCTATTGTTTATGGTGAGAAGGCAGACTCAGAGGGCAGAACAAACACCTAGCTGTGGGAGTGTCACCCACCTGGGGGAGGGGCTACTGCCCTTTGTGATGTCATGAAGGGAAAATCTCCAAAAGGCCTGTTTGAGCACACATTTTCTGAAAAGTGGAGCAGGCAAAAGACAGAAAAGAACGGACGTTTCTCATAATCAGGGGGTTTGTAGACGGACTAGAGACACATATTAGTGTTAGAAAAACATGGTGAAGTGTATTTTGCATAATATGTGACCTTTAATGTTTTTCAGATAGTGTTGAACTCATCACCGACCAATCGACAACTTCAGAGCCACGTAAGAAGCCTTCCATCTTTTTTCTGACCTTGATAACTATGGGTTACTTTATTAACTCTGATGCTGAGACAAATGTCCCCTTTCACAGGGAGACCAGAAACTGAGGACGCTTTCTGGCCTTTTGTGTGTCGTGTTATTGGACTCTTGGTGTTTGTCGCCATAGTGATTGCTATGTTTGTCACCTCACAGTCTTTGCGTAAAGGTGAGACTTTTTATTTTACAAGAGTGTTTTTATGAGCCACACAGGCGCTCTGCAGACCTCCAGCTGAGGATTTAAACTAAGAACCACACATTGTGATATCAACAAATATCAAATTATGATCGTTTTTCATTTCAATTCAAGGTGTCCGATGTGGAGGAGGATCCAAAGACACACCAGCAGATCCAAAAAGCCAGCCTTCCCATCAGGCTTTGCCTATGGATCATATCTATGATAGTGTTCAGTAGTCCTCATGTCAGAGGTACAAAGTTAAACGTTACAATGCTGGGTTAAGAATATACAACAGCATTTATTATTGATTGTTTTTTGTGACTCGTGGAAGTCAATTTGTGCTTGTGAATTTCTGCAAATGAACCTGTAGTGATACAAGAAGTGACATTTCTATTGCTTTCAAACCGCTGTATATGAGATCGAACCTGTGTGTGTGTGTGTGTGTGTGTGTGTTTTGCTTCCTCTGTAGGTGACAAACTTTGTGCACAAATCCCCTGCAAGATATATTATTTTGGTTATCTGTATCGCATTTTGGAGCAGACGCACTGATGCCAGGAAGCAAAATGTAACCACACGTCACATATTGAGAGACAAAAGACAAGAGGATGTGTCGTAACATGAAAAAATACGCAGCCCTCAACTTATCACCCATCTGTTCTAGGGATCTTATTTCACTCTAAAATATAAATTATAAATGTGATTTTATCACTTCACATACAGCCCAATATTAAAGATTCACTGAAGAAATCTAGTTTCTTAAACTGACAAATGAAAACAACAGCCAACCTGTCAGTCAAAACAGCCCCGCCAAATTATAATATAATTACTAGCCTTCAAAAAAGATTTTTCATAAATTCTTAAAATTCATAAAAATTCACCCTGTAAAGTTTGTGCAAATAAATAAATGAGCTGTCAGAACCAAACCTGTTCTGTAGCATTTCTACTGAGTATGTCATGGTTGGAAACGACTGAATTTGATGAATATCTCCTTTCAGATTGCGTCTTTATGTCGGAAACATCCACATGTGCACATCAGATTGTGTCTTGGCTTATTACTCATTACATGCAAATAAAAATACACACGTTCCAAATCGTCTTTTTGTTTTGATTGATTCAATATTGCACGTGTTGTTTCGTGCTAATGCAGCGATAATGTTCCATTCTGTGGTTTCATCACTTCATTGAAACTAGAACAAATTGCTAATGAGTTATGCAAATGACATTCAATATGAGTCACCTTGACATCAACGCTCATTAATAAATGGTCAACTTGATCCACTTCAGTTTGCTTATCAAGCTGGTGAAGGTGTGGACGACGCCAAGGTTTTCATTTTAGACACTGTGTACAAACGCCTGGAAAAACCTAAATCCCATGCCAGACTTTTATTCGCTGACTTTTCCTCAGCTTTTAATAAAATGCAGCCTCATATTTTAATTGAGACACTATCCTCTCACTTTAAACTTCCTGGTCAGATTTTAATGTTGCTTTTAAACTTTTTAACAGACAGAGTTCAGCAGGTTTTCGTGAATGGTCAAATGTCGAAAATAATTATGTCAAACACTGGTTCCCCTCAGGGCTGTGTCCTTTCCCCCCTGCTTTTATCATGTACACAGATAGCGGCAGAACATCACAAGAGAACAGTTATCTGGTAAAGTTCTCAGATGACACTGTTCTGCTGTACCTCCTTCAGGGCTCAGAATCAGGCCACGGCGGTGCTCTACCAACTTTTGTTAAGTGGTGCGATGGCAACTTCCTGGATCTTAATGTCCTGAAAACCAAGGATTTGGTCATAGATTTTAGGAAGAACTGTTGTCCCCCTGAATCTAGCATTATCCACAGTGGAGGGGTTAAGTTGGGGTTAAGTGTCTTCACCAATGGACACGTCCACATATGTCTGCAGGAGCTGGGGATTGAACCTCCATCCTTCCTGTTGAGAGATACCCAACTCTACCACAGTATAGTCCGTAGTGTGGTTTGCTCTCAACAAATATCACACAGAAACCAGATAACAGGAAGTAAAGTCGACCAGAAGACATTTACTGCAGCGTTTACAGCAGACCATCAGTTGTTTGACAGAGCTTACAATCTGGTTCTAGACATTTTTTCACCATGACACCAAAGTCCTGCTTCACCATCCTTCATGTGTCCATCTTGGCTGCGACACTTCTCACTTTGGAAGTTTCCTGTAAGTTTTTGTCTTTTTATTAATGGCATACTCTCAATGGCAGCAGCTACGTGTTACTGTCTTTGTGGCTCTGTCGCTGCGTGATGTATCGACAAATATTCCTCAGAAAAAATAATGTTATGTGAACTGAAAAGGTATTAAAAGTACTTATAGTGAGGGTGTATATTTAATAAAATCTCCAGAACGCAGCAAAAGGCTCAACTGTGTACCGTTAAAACTCAACACGGAAATGAACTGGATATGAATTTGGAGGAAACAATTTAAATTGTGGTGAAGGAAGGATTACCTTTATAGAGAATTGTATATTGTTGCAGAGAAAACCTGAAATGCTTTTTTCTACATGCAACCATATTTAGTGATAAAAATGACCGAATGTGTTAGTTTGGTAATTTCTTGCCATTTTTTAGACTTTTTGGTCTCTTTATATCGGTTAAAAGTCGACAAATGCAGCATGGCAAAACAGCAGTGTATCGGCTGAAGTCTGTACTTCCTGAATTCAGACAGTGGTGGGGATCTTTTCACCTTAAATTTAGCCTCCATGAAGCGAGGCTGCCTTATTAAAATGAGCAAACCCCATTCTCAACTCTGACTTCAACACAAAATCAATCATTACTTCACATAAACTGGAACCTATTTAATTTTAAGAGAGTTTCTTTAATGTAACAAAGCACCCAAAGGTTAGAATATGTCACCTTAACCACAGCAATACAACACATGACTTCCTGCCCTTAACTTTCCATGTAGCTGCTGCAACAATGAACAACAAATCTATTGAACTGCTTTTATGTTCTGTCATCATTAGCTGGTGTCTCATTTTTGAGAAAGCGTGTTGCCTGCAAATGTTTTAACTTATTGATTTGTACAAAAAAATCATTGAAGGATGAGCTAACCTATTCTGTATGTTTGTTGTCATTTTCCTTGCAGGTACAGATGAGTGTCATGTTCAAATTAAAGTACGCCGATACACAAAATATAAAGCTCACCTTGGAGAAGAACTAAAGATTGACTGTCCAGTTACGTTCTGCGACGATACACCACCTGAAATCTCCTGGTTTAAACTCAACTTAACTGGTGATCCTATAAACATTAGCGGGGGAAGTCGCTTCAAATCAGAGTGGAAACCTTTGAAGCATTTAGAGGGAGTTTCAGTTTTGATCATTCAAAACTTTGTCAGAAACGACTCGGGTATATATTGGTGTGGAAGCAGTTCCAGTCTTGGACATAAAATCAATGTTTCTGTCAATGGTGAGTGTGACTTTGTTATTAATCTAATGTGTCTTTATTGAGTTAAACTGCCTACAGATACCCTGATACAGCCACGTAATAATCAGCTTGAATATAACAGTTACGCCCTGAGCTCCCCATAACATGTGTGTGAAGTTTCTTGTTTTAAATCCACTCTGATCCTGTATTTGATCATGCCTATAAACCCCTCTATTTCAGCCCTGCTCAGAAAAGGCTGTTTCTGTGTCTGTACCTTTAAATATGTAAATTCTACAATTCTACAATTCACTCATCAGACGCTTTTATCCAAAGCGACGTACATCAGAGAGTAAGTACAACTCAAGCAAGGATCTAGAAAAAAGGTAACAATGTCAGGAAGAGCAAGCGATCAGCTTTGAGTCTGATTGGACACACAGGTGCTGACAGGAAGTGACCAGAGGCAAAGCACAACATTGAGGGCAGTTCTTGAGAGCTCTAATCAGTATAGAAACCATCTTATAAGTCGTTGTTATCAAACAAAAACCATCGTCATTACCATCATCATCATCAATAATATGGAGACCATCATCATTAAGTTAGTAGGTATTCATGAAAGAGCTGGGTCTTTAGTTTTTTCTTAAAGGTGCAGAGGGACTCTGCAGATCGAATGGAGTTTGGAAGTTCATTCCACCACCGGGGGGCGACAGAGGAGAAGAGTCTAGTCAGAGACTTAGGAGCCTGTTGTGAAGGTTGGATCAGATGCCTTTCATTGGCACAGCGTAGAGGGCAGGAGGGAGTGTAGACCTGGGGTGCGTTCGAATTGTCCCTCCTATCTCCTTTCACTATCCACTTTACCTTAACCCCGGAAGCATTTAAGTGGCGGCCATGATAAGAGCCGTTCGAATTCTCTAAAAGTTAAGGAAAGGTGGGTAAATGCTTCCTTTATAACCTCCTTTAGCATAGGATACACTGGACCATCCTTTAGGAAAGGAGATGAGATATGCCGCCCCACAATTCCTTGCGGCCGCAACATTTAAAGCGAGTCGCGCATCCGACCGTTCACGGAAATTAACGATGATCGTAAAGTGACACAGATCAAGTAAGGGATAAAAGATAAAAGTCATTTTTATCCAGATGATGTTTTAGTCAACATATTTCATTCACTTAAGAATGCTTTGTGCAGTTGTACATTTGTATGTTTAAAACATTATATGAAGGTTATATCTTATTAATGTAACAATTAATTTCATATTTATTTTGATGTTGATTTCTGAGTGGACAGGAAGGTGATGGTTTCACTTTTGTTACTCGTAGCCTGGTAGTCTATATTTCTTTTATTTCAATCCCAACCTTGTGGTGATCAGGATTATTTCACCGGTAAGAAGGCACAGAAAAAGTTTTTTAGATGCGTTTTTTGTAGTTCATTTTCGGAACATTGTAGTTTCAACACGGCGGACCCACGTCATTAACCTCCGCCGGCCCGTCGCGACGTCGCCTAGTGGAAATGTGGTCGGATTGTCAGAGCAACGAGATCGCCTTTCCCTAAGTCCTTTATGAATTCTCCTAACATCTTTCCTTAACCTCATGACGTTTTCGCGGGGTTAAGGTAAAGTGGCTAGTGAAAGGCGATAGGAGGGACAATTCGAATGCACCCCTGGATGAGAGAGTTAAAGTAAGGGGGAGACGTTTTTGTTACTGTTTTGTGAGCGAGCAGCAGAGTTTTAAATTTGATGCGAGCAGTAACTGGGAGCCAGTGTAAGGAGATGAACAGCGGAGTGACATGTGCTCTTTTAGGAAGGTTGAAGACCAGTCGAGCTGCTGCATTTTGTATCATTTGCAGAGGTTGGATAGTGCATGTAGGAAGACCTGCCAGTAGGGAGTTGCAATAATCGATGCATGTACAGGGCAAATCGACATGACAGGGCAATCGAGGCTACTTGAACCTTAAAAGTTAGCTGGTCATCAATCATGACACCCAGGTTCCGGGCAGACTTTGGTTGTTCCAAGTTGGATATTGATCCTCTGGTTGCATAGAGGGACTGGCTGGGATGACAAGGAGCTCAGTCTTTTGAAATATTGAGTTGAAGGTGCCGTTCATTCATCCATTTAAGATATCAGCAAGGCATGATGAGATTCTTGCAGAGACTGTAACATCATCTGGCGGGAATGACAGGAAGAGCTGGGTATCATCAGCATAGCAGTGGTATGAGAAGCCATGAGAGCGGATTATCGAACCAAGTGAGCTTGTGTATATGGAGAAGAGAAGGGGACCAAGCACTGAACCTTGAGGTACCCCTGTGGATAAGCTGTGCGCTTTGGACACTTCTCCCTTCCACGACACTCTAAAGGATCGCCCAGAGAGGTAGGACACGAACCAGCAGAGGGCAGATCCTGAGATGCCAAATACAGAGAGCGTGGATAGGAGGATTTGATGCTTGACTGTGTCAAAGGCAGCAGACAGGTCTAGCAGTAATAGAACTGAGGACTGACTGACAAGCTCTGGCAACTTGTAGCGATTCTGTTACTGACAGTAGTGCAGTTTCAGTAGAGTGGCCCCGCTTAAAGCCTGACTGATTTGGGTCAAACAGATCGTGTCTGGACAGAAACTCAGACTTCCTTAAAGACTGTGTCAAGTATTTTTGACAGAAAGGGCAGAAGAGAAACCGGTCTGTAGTTTTCAACCTGGGCTGGGTTTAGTGTGGGTTTTTTGAGCAGAGGGGTGACCCGAGCTTGCTTGAATGCGGTGGGGAACACACCCGTTGACAGAGAGGAGTTGATGATATGCTTAGTGCAGCATTAAGCGGAGAGGAAATGTCTGCAGGAGGCTTGATGGTATTGGGTCCAGAGGACAGGTGGTGGGCCGATAAAAGCGTCTGCTGAGTGAATGTAGAATTGTAGAATTTACATATTTAAAGGTACAGACACAGAAACAGCCTTTCTGAGCAGGGCTGAAATAAAGAGGTTTATAGGCATGATCAAATACAGGATCAGAGTGGATTTAAAACAAGAAACTTCACACATGTTATGGGGAGCTCGGAGCGTAACACATATTAGTGTTAGAAAAAACATGGTGAAGTGTATTTTGTATAGTGTTGTTGTTTATAGTGTGATGTTTTTCAGATAGTGTTGAACTCATCACCGACCAATCGACAACTTCAGAGCCACGTAAGAAGCCTTCCATCTTTTTTTCTGACCTTGATAACTATGGGTTACTTTTAACTCTGATGCTGAGACAAATGTCCCCTTTTCACAGGGAGACCAGAAACTGAGGACGCTTTCTGGCCTTTTGTGTGTCGTGTTATTGGACTCTTGGTGTTTGTCGCCATAGTGATTGCTATGTTTGTCACCTCACACTGTTTGCGTAAAGGTGAGACTTTTTA